CTCTATCAGTTCAAAACGGACAGCCGCAACAAGGATACTGGCCATCCAGATTTGGATTCCGGCGAATTCCGGGCCACCTGGCTCTCCTACCATGAGCTCTCACTCTCCCAAAAGGCTCGGCGAGCGAGTGCAGGGCATGGAAACACGATGGGAGAGCATCGGGAGTGAAGGGTATGTGTTTTCATTTAAATGATGTTCAATCAAATGCACCTCACACTTCCAATGGGTGCCCTGTCTGGAGACCTATAAGATCCTATAAGTAGTGTAGGGTTGTCCATTGGTGACCCGGACTGGAAGCAGCTGGCATGTAAATTGCTGGATGTTTTCCAGCACTGCCGGGCTAGGGACCCTTTGTCATGTTTTTCTGAGTCGCCTTGGAGCGGAGCTAGAGCTCCTTGCTTCCGATGTGCTCCAGCAGGGAGACACGTTCTCACTCGCCCGCCCCGTCCTAACTCGCGGATGCCAGTAACGATGGCCTCCAACCTATAAAAACAATCATCTCCAACCTGGTATAGCAATGGCCTCCAACCTAGAAGCCATAGGAGACTCTATTTCTTGACACCTCGCCAGGATGGAAGCCCACTCGCGGAAATTGAGACCTCCAGCGGCACCTTCCAGGCCGGTACCCGCTGGGCGACCCACCGGACCTTGGAGGAACCGGACCAAGCCCGACCGGCAGCGCATTGACGTGGAGTTGGATGGGTTGACTTCGACTCGACTCCTTTTGGGTCAGTCCGCATGCCAACCAGCATGGCATGCTCATTTCGACATCGCAGTCAATTCTGGTCCGGTTCGCAACGCAGAAGCGAAAGAGAGATGCCCAGGTCTATTGCCCACATGCCATTGCTCGCACGGGCATGTTTGGAGTTCAGTATTCCATGATCCTCATGATGGCCGTCGCATATGTAGGCGCGTGGAGAAACTATGTGTTTCTTTCCGGAACCGAGCACTGGCCTGAAGCAAAACGAGAAGCGAAGACATTTTAAATTTGGCTTAAATGTATTATGTTGAGTTAATGGTCATTGATGGATGCTCAGCTCCCAGTCTTTTCCACGCACTCCGCAGACCTTGCAGGCGTGTTTTATTCATTTGCAGTGAATGAGGCATACGTTTCGGGCACCCGTCGAGGTCTCAGAGAGTGATTTGTTGATCACGCTTTTACGTGCGCAAAGCGACGCCGACCAGACTTCCTCATACTTCAAGGTGAACCGGTGACATTGACTTATAAAGCCTCTTCAAGCACACGAACGCCTCAACATCGTCGTGTTTTATTGTTTTAACTGCTCGCCAGCCATCGCCAAACGAAATACAAAGCCACCAAGGGACCCTTTTGCTGCATGCGTGCCTGGGGCTGACGACTGGCCTCGTGCTCCACCTGCTGCGTTTCTATGCCTTGCGTCGCACAAGGCTTTCGAAGGAACTCAGAGAACGAAGACGACGAAGCGATGAACATCGGCGTCGTTTTGCGAGCATCCGAGTCAACCCCCGGGTCCCAAGAACCAATCCTTCCAAAACCTGCAGTATCCTGCAGTTACTGGTCCCAATCCCATTGAGTGTGCGGCCCACAGGAGATGCATCGCTTCCGGCACAAGCTTCGAGAGTTGAATCCCACACCCGCGCGGAGCCCCGGTTCGTCACGCCAAATCCGAGGACATGGAGCGGTCCGGGTCTTCTGGGCGGATCGAGGGTATAGACCGGTATAGATGATCGTCAGATGCAACGGGATCGATGGTCCATCTACAGACGTGTATGCATCATGAAATCCTTAGGTGCCAATGCCATGGCAATGCAGATCGCCAGTTTTGGGACATCGAGTGTTTGCTATGATTCCGTTCCTCGAGCCCAGAGGTTTCCACCCGTCGTGGTCCACATCGCGCGGTGACCATAGGCCGGGCGTCTGAAATCCAGGCGTCGGGTTCAGATGGGGCGGAATCCGTTTCCGCAGCCAGGACAGTTGGCATACTTCTATGAGTTCTTCAAGGCACATGTTGGTTTAAACCGCAACATGCAACTTGGATTTGCATGAATCTGATGCTGTTTGCAAGGCAATGTGCAAAAGAACTACTAGACTTGACTAGACTAGTGACTTTCGACTGTACATCTAGCCCCCCCCAAAAGTATGCCTTTTGAGGCCTGATTCAGAGGCTCGAGTGAGAAGAAAGCCACATCTGTCAAGTTTCTATCTATCGGCTTCTGCATGAGCTTACCCTATCGTTTGGTCTTTGTCAATGTCTATAGCTGGGTCCGTGATGTTCAAGCCTCCATTTTAGGATCTTGCAAGGCACTTCGTGTGTTTGAACCCCCAGGCACTATGTTGTCCACAACATCCTGAAGCCAGTGACGCGGCCCACGCAATTGTCCTACGCTGAAGTGGCAGGGCCTTCTATGGTTCAGTGGTTTGTGTCGCACCATTGGGGGACCGGCGGGGGAGACGACGCCGTGCCGACGGAGGGGGTCTTCGCTGCAGACATGATGTTCGGTACGATGGTCCAATGGCAAACTGAACAAGCGCCTACTGTCGGAGGCCATTTGGACAAGCACTAATGCAAAGACCGGATTAATAAACCCCCCCCCCCCACATGGTAGGTCAACAAGGTCAAGAAGGTATGAGATACCACTCATGAGGTCCACTCCCCCTGAATAATGTGGTATGAGACCATTGGACCATGAAGGTAGTAGTAGGGTAGGTAGTAGTAGGGTAGGTAGTAGTAGGGTAGGTAGTAGTAGGGTAGGTAGTAG